CAAAGTCGCTGATTACGAATCTGAGATCAAATTTTTAAAAATTTCGAAAGAATTTTCAAAAAAAAAAATTGATTACATTTGCTTAAAACTCCTGAGTAATAAATTTTGTCATTGCAACGCGTAAGCGAATGTCAATTTCAACTTTAGGCACATATGCAATACTGTACTTATTATATATACAAAAATGTTATATTATTATTTTAATTGTAACTCATATAGAAATGTACGGAAATTTGTTGTATTTTGCTTGCTTATTTTTGTATGATTAAAAAAATTTTTTTTTCAATCTTTGAAAAGTTTTTCGGTTTATTAAATATATACATATATTATTGTAATTTTCAAATTTTTTCCAAATCTTATTTATTGTTTTTTGTAATTTTTTTTTTTTTTTAATCAATTTTTTCCTTTTTTCAGATTGTTTTCAATGGACCTACACAACTGGAGTCACGCCCTATCAATGTAATAAATGCTTTAAATATTTCAAATCATGTAATTCACGTTCAAATCATCGTGCTATTTGTGGTAAAGATAAAAAATTTGGTTGTGCATTTTGCCAATATCGATCTCATCAAAAGGCAAATGTTCTGAGGCATTTAATTTCACAACATCCCGAGGCAAATGAAAATAATCATCTAGACTATGTTTTAAATACTAGTTTATAAATTATTATTATTATTATTATTTTATAAGTTTTTCCATTCTTTTTTTTTAAACAACAAATGTGTGATATTTTTTATTATAGTAAAATAAATAAATATTTTCTGCTATTTCCATTTTAATTATTATTATTACTATAATTTTATTTAATTATTAAAAAAATAAATTAAAAAATATTTTTTAATCATTTGGAAAAAATTTTCCTTGTATATTTATTTTATTAAATAAAAATTTTCCTATATATATCCAATTTTGAAAACGTGCATGTTGTGTAGCAGTTTTGTTCTTTTATCTTTAGTTTCGAAAACTAAAATTGTTTTTTCCAAAAAATTAGTATCTAATTTACTATATGAGCGTCCCAATTCCATAACTCATTCGACGCTCGGACGCACGCCCTATTTGGTAGTCGGGTAGCAATGGCTCTCTCACTGCTATCTGACTACCATCAGAGCGTGCGTCCGAGCGTCGAACGAGTTATAGAATTGGGACGCTCATATGTAATAACATATTTCAAGATAGAAAATTTTTCATCGGGCACTGAAATATCTTCGCAAAAACGTCAAGAAAGTAAGTTGAAAAAAAAATAAAGGGAAAAGTAACATAGGTCCACAAAAAAAAATTGATGAGGGGTTACTTTGACCAAAACTGGTGTATTATATGTTTTTAGGGGACGCATGATTATGTTCTCAAAATCATTAGTTGGCATTTTCATTCTATGGAATTTCATTTGTCATAATTATTTTTCAGCCGAATTTTTATTTGTTCGCATTAGTATTTTGCACAATTTTCATCTAAACGATTTTCTAAATTACAGAATTTTTATATAACCGAAAATTCACTTCACAGAATTTTTATTTGTTTAAATTTTAATTTGTCAGAATTTTCATTTAACATAATAGGCATTTTAAAGAATTTTTATTGGGTAGAATTTCATTGCATAAAATTTTCATTTTATTCTTTCAGATGAATTTTCATTTCTTTGAATTATTATTTGATATAATTTCCACACGCAGAGAAATCCGATTTAAAATTTTGGGCTCCAGTACTAGTAATTTAGATATAATTCCCAAACTAGTCTACCTTTGCCGCTCCAGGATGAAAAATTTGGAAATGAATGATAAAAGGGAAATAACACGTTAATAGGCTTTACATTTTTAGGTTCATACGCTTGCTTATAGGCAGTCCAAAGCAGATGCACATATTGGTAGGCGCTTGTGGAGAATGCTCTTATGCGAGTTTGGAACTGAGTCCAAGCACGCTTATAATGTGTGCAAAGCGGTGTGGATCGTTTCATTTAAAATTTAATGCAATAACTGCAATCTTTTTGTAACCTATATTATTATATTTATTAATCAAAGCATTCATATTTCTTGCGATTATTAATAAACTAACTATTTTTCATTATTATTTATTTATGTTTCTATAAAAAGTATATATATTTACTTTTATTAGAATATTCAATTTGGAAACTAAATATAAAATCTAAAAATAAAATAATTAAAAATATTAGAATAGTTTTAATTTTAAGCAGCTTTTTAGAGGGATTTTTGTTGTATCTTTAAAATATTTAAACATCGAATCTCTTTAAAAATTAAATCTAAGTTTTTTTTCATCTTTTTCACCAAAGGCTTTGTTTTTAAAAAAGTTTTAAAAAGATTCCACACTTAAATATATGCATATAAAGATAAATAAAAATCTCATTTGTAAAGATTTTTAAAATTCAAACTATTCTAATATTTTTAATTATTAGATTTTAGATTTTTTATTGAATTTCTAATTGAATATTCCAATAAAATAATTGCTTCCTCATGGAAACATATTCATAAATATATCGAATAGAATAAGTGATAGATAAATAATTTTTTTTAATTGTATAGGTCTCTCATTTTCGGACAAATAATGCGAGTACTATTGTTACACTTAGAGATATTTTTTTTATTTCGTAGATTTTTTCAAGTGAATTTTTAGACTGTTCTGGTTGAAGATATATGGAGTTGTCCCCTTGAATTAATACATCAGCGTTTGATTCATTCATCATAAACTAATAAAACACGCACAAAATTATTAATAAATAGCGGTATATACACGCGGATGTATTACGTTTATAATGCCCGTTCCGGACGTAATGCAATGGTGAGCAACACACTGACACGAGCGCACAGCGCAGGCGCGTCTATCTCTGCTGTACCTGTGTGGCTGTGTGCTTATATGAGTATATGGCTGACTAAAATTGTTTGGGAATGAATCCAATGAAACTTGGAGCGAACAATCCGCTTCAAGTAAACGCTGATACACAGTTTCTAATAATTGAAAAACTGAATTGAAATAAATGTAAATATAATAATTGTTCTCAATACCTTGCGACTTATAATACATTGCTTTCAAAAATACTAATATGTACACAATTAATGCAACCGCTAATAAAGACTTCAATTAAGATTACATTTCTCTCTACAACACGATCATAAAATCTATTTCAAAGTTATTCCTTCACGAGTTAAAACAAATCACGGAAACTGAATAGCACTCGCTTAAAGGAAAATATTAGCGTTTACTAAGATGTTTAGAATTCATTTTAATTGATAATCATTATAAAACTTTTTGGGATAGAAACCTAAACTTTTCAACTCATTCCTACGGTAATAGAAATTATTCCAATTGTTTTATACTCAGTCCGATATCTCAATTTTCATTTTTCTCCGTGTAAACATGATATAATTATTTTTGTTGTGTAAAAATACAGTATCGAGGTAAAATTAGTAACTGCAAGTGAATATAAATTATTAAACTGTTTAAATTTTATTTTAATTATGGTTTTGATAAAAATATACTTTAATAAGATTTATATTTAAAATGAAACTCATTATTATTATTTGGATTTCTTTGAAAATAGTTTTATAAATAGATTTATATTTTGTATTGCCTTTAACACAATTTGTTTTGCAAATTTTAATGGAACCACTATAATTATATTTCCTTACTTTTCTTTAAATTATTTACAAAAACCAGAAAAAAAACAATGCGATATAAAAACAATCAGTTTATGCAGGTTATGTCACGACAGCCATTTTGCGAAAATTCTATGTGTTAGTAACTGTATGTACACATTTTGTGTCAGTGTGGGTAACCAGTTCCCAAATTTTCCGATAGGTTCGACACCTCCGTTAATTGTAAGAGAAACGGGGAAATCAGCTTCAATTTTTCGTGGGCTTAATATAGCAGTGGGGTTTCCTTATACTACACGGAAAAAAATAGTTTGTGAAACTTTCGTAAACTAGTAGTTCACTTTTGAACGGGCCCAAAGTTTGGAAATCTTTCATTAACTTTTTCCAAGATTTCACGAACTTTTTTTTGTGCGCGTGCGCAGACATTGATTGTCATGAAGAGAGTGATGGACGTTCGTGAAATCTTGGAAAAAGTTAATGAATGATTTCCAAACTTTGGAACCGTCCAAAAGTGAAAAACTAGTTTACGAAAGTTTCGCGAACTATTTTTTTCCGTGTACTTCGTGGTAAAATCGAACATGTTTTTTGAGGTTAGGAAAAAATCCTGACGTGTTGGAGCAAAACGGACTTCAGATTCGTGATCAGCGACGCCAAAAACATATAATACACCAGGTTTGGTCAAAGTAAACTTTCATCGATTTTTCTGTGAACCTGTGCAATTGTCTTTTTTCTACAATAAATATTTTATATACAAAAAAATGGTCGAGTCTCTTTTGTTTCGAATTTTGTATAAAACAATGAATGACGACATTATTAGAATTTCTTTTTGTGAATTTTTTTTTTTCTTTTTTTTTTTTTTTTAATAATGGTGATGGGAAAAATAAGTGATTTGCACCATAATTATAGAGCATAACTAAATCTGCATTTCTCTTTCAGATGATGATGATGATGATAAATATTCGATTACTGAAGAAACAGCTGATCTTCCATTGCAAGTATTAAAGATGGACAATAGAAATTATGCACAATTAAAAATACCAAAAGCAGAACTTTTAACGGGAAGAAAAACAAATGGAAAATTCACTTGTCTTCAATGTGGAAGGTCGTATATGAGAAAAGATTCATTACAAAGGCATGTTCATTGGGAATGTAATAAAGAACCACAATTTCAATGTCCATATTGTCCACAACGATGTAAACGTAAAGCACATTGGCTAAGACATATTCGTCGTCAGCATGAAAATAAAATTGATGATATTGAAAAATTGTCAAAATATATTCCCAATATTAAGTTTAAGTGAATTGATTGCATTTGAGAATTTTTTTGTTTTCAAATTTATTTAATATTCTATTGAAAAAAAATACTCATTTTTATTATAGGTAGTTTTTTTTCCCTTGCATATGGTAAAAAATGATTTTTACATTTAAAATTTCGAATTTATAAACATCAAAGTGAAAAATTGTGTCTTAAATTAGGATTAATGCAAGAAAATGGAATATTTAGAAAATTTTCATTTATCTATATATGTGAATTTAGTTATTAATTATACGTTTTACTTTTTTTGTATTACTTAATTAATGTTACTTATTTTTGTATATTTGTTCGCGAGTCCACGAGAAAACTATCATAGTTTACTTTTGTACTATTTTTTTTACCACTAACAAATTTTTTATCTTTACCATATAAATTTATTACTTTTCAGAGTTCCTTACGTTACAGTGTTTTATAATCAAGAAGAATAAAATGGTTATATCTTCGATTTTTTTTTTTATTTTTAAGAAACTACACCGTTTTGATATAACGAATTTACAACCGGTTAATCAGCTGACAGAAACTGCGCGCGTCGTTTTTGATGTTAAGGTGATTCTGCACTCAATAAAAACAGGAGGAATTTCGTCGTGCCTAGAAGTCGATTAGGCGATTCCACAATAGCTAAATGTTTTTCGCGAGTAAATATTATTGAAATTATAAAAAAAAAAATTTGTTTTGTTAAAGAAAATAAAAATTTTATATTCTTCTAAGTAAAATGTTTTTTTTTAAATTTTTACTACACGTTGAATTTTCACGGTCGTGTCACTTAATTTGATTGGCTGTACTGAAGATTCCATTTCCGTTTGGTTAGTGTCATTAAGGCCTTTCTCCAATAGGTTCCTAAATATTTGCTTTTGCGTGACTGACGCGTTGGTTCGCAAGCGCAGTGACGTCATCAAAGCATTGATACCAATCGCGAACAAAAAGTTTGGTTTACGTTCCTCTTATCCCTGTTTTCCAACTTTACAATTTTTAATGCAAATGTTTCTCGAAGGTTTTTTTTTAATAATTTTAATTATTTAATATTTATAATTAAAAAATTCAGTCTCTTAAAATCATAAACCAAACTTTTTGTTAGCGATTGGTATCAATGCTTCGATGACGTCACTGGGATTGCGAACCAACGCGTAAGTCACGCAACGCAAACATTTAGAAACATATCTTATAAAAATCTTAAATTTTTACATGAGAAAAAAAGGATAGAAATATCTTTTGTCCTTTTCTATCTCATGTAAAAGTTTAAGATTTAAGGTACTTTTATACCTCTAGTATTTTGGTCAAGCAATCGGCTTGGATTGAATTTTCACGGAGAATCACTAAATTTGATTGGCTCCAAAAAAGTTCAATTTTCACGGTGAAAATCTAATTTATTTGTCAGAGCCAATCAAATTCAGTGATACAACCGTGAAAATCCAATCCAACCGATTGCTTGACCAAAATACTGGAGGCATAAAAGCACCTTTATATTTGCGTAAGCGCAGTTAGCGTTTGGTGACTGCCATTGGCATCTTTGCCACTGTCGAGCGACGTTAAATTTTCTATTGGAGAATCACCTTAACATCGCAAACGACGCGCGCGCAGTTTCTATCAGCTGATCAACCGATCGCAATAGCGTTGTTAAAACGGTCTAGAATTTCTTAGTTTATTTAAAAAAAAGTCGAAAATTGAACAATTTTATTCTTCTTGATTATAAAACAGTGTAGTGCAAGGAATATTTTCATCTTTAACGTTTTCAATTTCGTCACCACAAACGTAAGTTAACTTATTTGTTTGAATTCGTTTGAATTTGTTTGTTGTGATTACGTCGAAAAATATAGTCAATTTCTCATGGACTCGTACAAATATTATTTTTGATGTTTAATTACGTAATCGTATTTATAAGTACCTGTTTCTGGTATCAATTTATAGTATTTAATTTGTATTTTTACAATTTTTATTTTCAGTATTTAATGTTGCTTGTATTCTATTAAAAACATATATTGTTAAATAATACTCTATTATAATATAAGAATTTGTGCCTGTAAAAAGTGATAAAAGAAAATTTATGAAAATTGCAGCTAAATTTTAGTCTAACTAAACTATATATATATATGTCTAAGAGTTGAAAAATAATTATAAGTTTTCGAACTGCATACATTTTTTTTTGTATTATAGAACAATGTATTATTGTTTTAACAAAAAAAAAATTGATTACAGTTATTTGTCTAACTAAACTTTTTTAGTTAGTCCAATGAAATTTTTGCTTATCTTCATAAAAATTTTGGTTCGTTTAACTATGAAATAAATTTTGAAGAATTTTAGAATAAATTGTTTTCGCCGCAATTTTTTTTACAGGAAAAATAAAAATTTTTTATAACCTACATTTTTAATGAGACGGCAACAATTTTTTTTTTAACCTAAAGGTAAAATTTTGTTACCGTAAAAAATGTTTTGGTTAGAAAAATATCAAAGAAATGATTTTTTTTTTGTCAAAGATAAATATTTTTCTCTGATTTATGAAATATTTAATATTTTTAAAAGATTATTATTATTGTCTCTTACAGGAATTCTAGTATTATTTATTGATTATTGAAATATGTATTATTTATAGGATTAGTATATTTTTGTAGGATTCTGAAAGTTAGTTTATTTTTTTTTATATCTAAATTTAAAATAAGTGAATAATTTTATATTTTATAATATTTAAGAAATAAAAAATCTATGTAATCTGATTTTATGATTAATTTTAGTATTATTTAATAATGATAAGTATATTATATATTGTATTAGCGTAAAATATTGTATTTTTCATAAATTATGATTATATTTTACATATATGTAAGTTTTTCAGGAGAGTATTTTTGATAACGAAAATTGCATTACAATATCTGCCTTATATAATATCTTTTTTTTCTCTATGCATTTTCTTATTTCACAGCAGTATTACTTGCAAAAATACTGTCCCCCGTATCGAAGAATTTTTTCTAACTATTTGTGCTTTTTAAAAAATTTCGCTTTTTCATTTCATTTGAAGAAGAAAAAAAAATTTGTTTCTATTGCATTTCTTTTCTTTTCTATTCTTTATTTTATTTTCTTTAATTTTCTCTCTTTTTCCCATTTTTTCTTCGTTTTTCTTTCTTTGTCCCTTTTTTCTCTTTTTTTGTTTCTTCACTTTTTTTTCCTTTTGCTTCTTTTCTTTTTTTTCATTTTTTTCTTTTTCCCTGATTTTTCTTTTTTTTATTTCTTCGTTTCTTCTTCATTTTTTTCTTCATTTTCTTTTGCCCTCTTTTTCTTTTTTTCCCTTTTGCTTCTTTTTTTCATTTCATTCTTTTTCCCTCATTTTTCTTTTTTTTATTTCTTCGTTAATTTATTTTTTCTTCATTTTCTTTTTTCTCTATTTTCTATTTCTTCGATTCTTCTTTTTTATTTCTTCTTTCTCATTGTCTGTATTTTTTTTTTACTATTTTATGTCTTTGTTTTCTTCTCTTCTTTCTTTTTTCCTCTTTATTTTTTCTTTTTCCTTTCTTTTTTTTGATTTTTTCTTTTTCTTCTTCTTCTTTTTTTTGTCACTTTTATTTATCTTCGATATTGGGGAGTAGGCATGTGCACTAACTTTTATATCTACGCTCTGTACATATATATATATAAATAGAGAGCCTACAAATTTTCATTGCTTGCGCTATACGAAAGGAACAGCCACGAAAAAAAAAAATACGGAATATTAAAAATGTTTGACAATAAAACTGATCATGAAACGAGGCTTTTGAATGAATATTCTATGGAAATAAAAAAAAAAAATTAATCGCTCACACTCTGTTCCTTTCACAATACGCGGAAATTGCTCTTCCAAATCTGAAGCTCATTCTAGCTGCTTGGGGTTTTTCAAAGTAAGAACATACACAATTTCACCTTTCCATGCATTAGATTTTAATTTAATTTCTTATTACATAGTTAAGCGCACAAACGTTGATTGATGAAAAATATTCTATTTAGTAAAAAAAAAATTAATTTAATTGTTAATAATAGTTTTTTTTAATAACTTTATTTTACTTTCAATTTTTACTTTATTTTAAATATTTTGTAATAATTTTTTTTAATAATAGTTTTTTAATTTCTTATTTTAATAATACACTGAAAAAAAATTTCTTCGATTCTTATTGATTACTTGACTATATTATCAAATAAATATTTATTTCTATTAATTAATTATTGAGTCAATTAAATCGTATTTGTTTTAAATACAGAAATTACTTTAAATACAGTTTTTTTTTTTAAATTCAAATACAAATTATTTGGTTCAAGTAAATATTTGACAATAGTCAAGTAATCGATTATTTGAAACAAATAATTTTTTTTTTTTTAATAATAGTTTTTTAATTTTTTTTTTTTAGTGTTATATAATTATTTTTAATTTTTTTATTTTTGTAGCTTTTAAGGGGGTGCCTAATTTAGAAGGTCAAAAATTTGTAAATTTTAGGAATTTTGTTTCTCAAACACATTGAAATAAATTAACGAAGCTGAAGTACGCAACGTTTATATAAACGATTTTTAAAGAAATAATTTTTTACAATGAAAAATTCTATAATTTTTTGCCAAAAAAATATTTCTTGTAGTTTTCATTAATCAACAAATTATACAAAAAATATTTTTTAGGCAAAAAATTATAGAATTTTTCATTTTAAAAAATTATTTCTTTAAAAATCGTTTATATAAACGTTGCGTACTTAAGCTTCGTATAAATTGATGCGAAATTTTGTTGATGTTTTCTTACATATTTAAGCCTTTGAAATATAATTTTTTCATTAAAAAAAAAAAAAAAAAAAAAAATTTAATAATAAAATAAATGTCATATATGCTGAAATATTCCCATTGCGCCCAATCTAGGATCCATAATTCTTATCAAAAACAATAATACAAAATTTTTTCTTCTTTTTCACCTTCTATATGAATTAAAAGATTTCGATAGAAAGTGAAAATTAAAAATTTTACATGACTTTAAAAAAAAAAAAATTAATTTTTGCAAAAAAAAATAACTTACTTTTTCTTAAACTAAAATGTTAAATTAGACTTTAATAATAAAAAAAAAAAATGTCGTATAGAAGGCACTAATGGACGAATGAAGAAAAAATTTTGTTTTTGATAAGAATTGTGGACCACAGATTGGCCGCAAAATGGGAAAATTTTAGCAACGAGTATATAACGTTTATTTTATTATTAAATTTTATTTTTTCCAATAAAAAAAAATTATATTTCGAAGGTTTAAATATATATAAGAAAACATCCACAAAAACTCGTATCAATTTATTTCAATGTGTTTGGGGAAAAAAAATTACTGAAATTTACAGATTTTTTGACTTTCTATAAAGCCCACCTTAAACAATATGTTAAATTATTATCAAAATTTTTATAACTTTTAAATAATTATTTTAATTTTATAAAATTAAATTCAATAATTATAATGTTCATAATTTCTCTAATTATAACTACTATTTATTATTGTTCTTATTTTTATAAATCAGAATTATATTTTTTGAATGGAAAATTAATTTTTACAATTTTCGGCGCTGAGCTTTTGACGCCAACTTTATGGAGGATAATAATTTTAATTTCGAAAATAAAAAACATTTTTTTTTACTTATTATTTCAATATTTAATTTTCTTTCATCAATCAACGTTTACACTAGAATAGAAATTTTTTTTTTTTCGAAAATTCATAATCTTGAAATCCAATATTTAAAAAATTTTTCAAATTGCGAATAAAAAAAAAAACAAGATTCTGAATTTTCGTCTAAAAAATATTTTCTCAATTTTAAAGGGCTCTATTATTCACACGATAAAAAATTGATCTATTCGACGTTTTTTTTTTTATTTCAAACTTCGTGTATGTTTAAATTAAACAAATGCCCAAAAATTTAGTATAGCATTAAGTCTAATTTTTCTTCTAAACAAAGAATATTTATTTTTAGAACACTTTTTTAAATTTAATTTAATTTATTATTATTATTATTATTATTATTATTATTATTATTATTTAACAATGTCAAGGATGTTGAATTGTTCTTTTTTTTGTGTATCAATAAAAAAGCTGGAAAATGTGTTCCAGCCGAGGACCTGAGCATCACAGGATTAAAATGGGCAGCTGCTTGGCAAAGATGGAGTGCAGTGCCATCAATAATGTGGCGTTCTGGTGCTGCATTAGGTAAAGGTCTAAGTTCAGGATCATCAACACCTGAGGGTTTCAATTGTCCAGCTTGTGGTCGTGTTTACAAATTAAAAAGCAGTCTTCGTAATCACCAAAAATGGGAATGCGGTAAAGATCCACAATTTCAATGTCCCCATTGTGTTTATCGGGCGAAACAAAAAATGCACATTGCTCGTCATATGGAGCGAATGCACAAAGAAAAAATTTACAAGCAGGAGCTTGTTTAGAAAAGAAAAAAAAAAGAAAAAACAGCCAAATCCAATTTTTTTTCGCAACAAAACAAAACAAAAAAAAATAGGAATCTTAACGAAATAGTGGTATAGTGTAAACATTTGTAAAATAGTTTTTTTTGCCCCCCCCCCCAATTTATATATATACAAGAAAGCTGAAAAATGTTCAAAACCGCGAGAGGATTTTTTTTTCTCGAAAAAAAGAAGTCAAACTTTTTTTTTATATATATATAAATATTATAATCTCAGGTTTTTTTTTGCAAATTTTTATGAATGGATGTGGCTGATTTGATATAAATGTGTAGAATGAGGAAGAAAAAAAATTTCAAAAATTTGTTTTTTTTTTATATATATGAACTGTTTGAATTTTTTTTCATTTCTCATACAAATTTTCTTTTTCGCTTTTTTATGTCGAGAATTTTTTAAAAGAACAATTTTTTTGAATATTGTTTAAAAAAATCGATTTTTATTGAAAAAATGTTTTTTTTGGTAATTTTTGAAAAAATGCTCCGTTTTTTATTAAAATTGTAAAAAATTGTTCTGATTTAATTTTTTCGAATTTTTAAATTCCAAAAAATACTGAAAGTATTTTAACATTTTGAATCATTTAAAAATTGTATTTTTAATAGAAACTAAAAAAATTGTTTATTGCTCGTAAATTAGAAAAAAATTACTAGTTTTTTATAATTAAAAATACAAAACTGTGAGGTTAGAGTTACTTTTTATATTGTCTGTCCAATTTGTTCTTTCGTAAAAATTTATCTTTTTTTTTAAGCATAAAACTTCTTGAATTTTCACCCCTAAAATACAAATTTCTTTCAAAATTAAAAAAAAAAAATTTTTTTAAAAATCGAATTTTTCAAAAACAATAGTTGACACAAAAGCGAAAAAAAAATGTTACATAATGTTTTGCTTGAGTTTTTGAATGAAGTATTTTTTAAATGCCCTTATTATTATTATTATTAAATAATATTTTTTTAATTTTTAATTAATGTACGTTTTACGCATCGAGATACCGATGTTACGAGAGACAGTGTCGATTTCTCGCTCGGGGCACTCCACTATTAACTTTTTTTATTTTTTTCCCTTTTTTTTAGACTAAAAAAAAAAATGAGAATTTCTCATAGAATGGCACGATGACTATTTTTATTTTATTATTTTGAGAGGAGAAGGAATTTTCCAAATTGGAGAATAGAAAGTGATTTTGGATTGGTGATTACGGAAAGTCTGTGATAAACGTAACAGAGAATTTGTGAGTCATACGATTGTCGTGGTTTTTTTTACGAGGGATGAATGGCGTGTTTTTTTTTTTTTGTAATTTATTATTTTTTTTTGGCTTTAGAGTGTAACTATACCAGTGATAATCTAGTTGTAAAAAAAAAATTTCTGATTTTTTTATTCGAAAAAATTGATTTAGAATATATATATATATTGAATTAAATAGAAAAAAAATACTACGCTATGTGATACAAGCGCTATTATCAAAACCGTTTTAGAATCTCATTTTTCTTTTTTTTTTCGTCAATGGTATTAAAAGTCATTGTGCCTTAATGATTATAATTTTTTTTTTTTAAAAAATCAGTTTTGAACTGATTTTTTATTTTTAATTTAGCTATTATTATTAAAAATGTATATATTTAAAAAATATATGCATTTTTTTTTGTTTTGCGTATTTTGAAATTGGAAAAAAATAATGTGAAGAAAAGTGGAATATAAGCAGGATAGCCCCGAGCAAGATTTGTGACCACCTGTAAATCGGAGCTCTTCCATAGCAACCATTCTGGTCACACTGGTTCCATATATTTTTTTAAATGGACGTTTGCCGTGCACGTGTGGTTCACACCGGGGACATTTTTATGGATTTTTTTTTTTTTTTTAAGACAAATTTTTTTCCATAATTATGAGAATTAAAAATAGCTTACATTTTCTAATTTCGATCCAACTATATTGCAAAACAGTCGTTAATTATATTCAATACTAAACTTTTATTCCAAGCGTGAGAGTAGACATATTTTCTTAATAGGATTTTTTTTTAAATGCCACTATAGTTTAATGTAGTCATATATATTTATAATAATAATAATAATAGAATGTGGTTCTTTGCCACTAAACATATTTTTTTGATATAACAATTATATATATTTTAATTACAAAGCTTACAATTCACACAATATTCTCATATAGAGTACTATAAATATTTTTTTTACACATATGCGTGGCTGAGCAAATTTTGCGATTATTATTATTTTTTTTTTTTTTACAATCCGAATGTGAAATTATTATACTTATTAGTGAATAATGACGGGGAAAAAAATTATTTTATTATTTACAATAATCTTTCCGAAAATAGCTTCGAAAATTCATTTCACAAAATTTTTATTTGTCAAAAGTTTTATTTGTTCGAATTTTTATTTAAGGAGGTTGGCGGGTCAACATAACCTCAAAAACCTGTCAAAATTAAAAAAATTGTTTTTAACGCAAACAAAAATATAATAAATATTAATTTCAAACAAATTTAGAAGATCTAGATTTACTCCTTTTAAAAAAAAATTATTTTTTTTCAAAATATTTTGTCAATAATTATTTTTTTAACGTTTAGTTTTTTTTCTTTCTTAAAAAAATAATTATTGACAAAATATTTTGGAAAAAAATAATTTTTTTCGAATGGAGTAAATCTAGATCTTCTTAAATTGTTTCAAATTAATATATTTATTATATTTTTGTTTGCGTTAAAAACAATTTTTTAGTTTTGATAGTTTTTTGAGGTTATGTTGACCCGTCACCCTCCTTAACATAATAGGCATTTTAAAGAATTTTTATTCGGTAGAATTTCATTGCATAGAATTTTCATTTTATTCTTTCACATGAATTTTCATTTGTTCGAATTATTATTTGATATAATTTCCATATAAACGATTTTTCATATTTCAGAATTTTTACTTAACCAAAAAATCATTTAACAGAATTTCTAATTGATAGAATTTTCATTTGTCCGAATTTGCAAATGGCCGAAAAAACAATTGATTTTGGCGTGATTTTTAAAATCAACCAATCACAATTTTATGGATAATTTTTTATTGGTTGATTTTAAAAATCGCGCAAAAATCAATTGTTTTTTCGGCCATTTGCAAATTCGGACAATTGAAAATTTTATCAATTAGAAATTCTATTAAATGATTTTTCGGTTAAGTAAAAATTCTGTAATATGAAAAATCGGTTATATGGAAATTATATCAAATAATAATTCGAACAAATGAAAATTCATCTGAAAGAATAAAATGAAAATTCTATGCAATGAAATTCTACCCAATAAAAATTCTTTAAAATACCTAATTATGTTAAATAAAAATTTAAGCAAATAAAAATTCCAATAAATAAAAATTCTGTGAAGTGAATTTTCAGTTATATAAAAATTCAGTAATATAGAAAATCATTTTGATGAAAATTATGCAAAATATATTAATTCGAGCAAATAAAAATTCGGCTCAATAATAATTATGAAAAATGAAATTCCATAAAATGAAAATTCCAACTAATGATTTTTAGAACATAATCATGCGTCCCAGTATATTTGAAAGTGATCAACACAATTTTCTCTATATTGTAATATTTTTTTCAATAATAATTTTTTTTTTTAGGGTCAATCCATTATATTTCGACTGAAGTGGTCGCTGACTAATTTTTAAAAATTATAATACTTTGCAGGAATGATTTTGAAGTTATCAAGATCACGAAATGAAAAGAATTTTATTAAAATTTTAATTATTTATTGCAAAATATGACTTTAAAGTATATGAGGTGCTGAAAACTGTCAATTTTTTAGCCATTAGAAAATATGCAAAAATACGTAGAATTTACCATAAAAATAAAAAAATTTTTTTGTAATTTACTAAGAATGAATAAATTTATCATTATCAATTGATGTAATTATTTAAATATGTGAAATAATATATAAAATATGATTTTCAAGTTCGCCTGTCAAATAACCTAAATTTGCAAATTTCATCTATTAAATGTGAGAAAGAGAAGTCATTAAATTGAAAAAAACCTTACCAAATATAAAGTACCTGTGACTAACTTTTAGTTTTTCTTAGCACTTTTTTCCTTTTTTCTTCATAAATGTGAAATAAAAAGCAATAAAAATTGGCACTTTGCTTATTTTCACTATTTTCAAATGTAAATAACTTTCTTGGAGAAAACTGAAAAATTACAAAACTTGGGCAATATCTAATTGATCACTCAATACACACACTGGAAAAAAATTCGCTTTGGTCCCGAAGATACTTTTTGAGATAATTAAGTTTAAACTTTTCACAACTTTTATGAGGTTAATGCATGTGATTTTTATAAAATTGAAGTTAGTTCAAAATATTTAACCAATAAAACCTAACTTCGTCCTTAAAAAACTACATGTATTAACCTGATAAAAATTGTGAAAAGTTTAAACTTAATTATCTCAAAAAGTATCTTCGGGACCAAAGCGAATTTTTTTCCAGTGTGTGTATTTAGTGATCAATTAGATATTGCCCAAGTTTTGTAATTTTTCAGTTTTCTCCAAGAAAGTTATTTACATTTGAAAATAGTGAAAATAAGCAAAGTGCCAATTTTTATTGCTTTTTATTTCACATTTATGAAGAAAAAAGGAAAAAAGTGCTAAGAAAAACTAAAAGTTAGTCACAGGTACTTTATATTTAGTAAGGTTTTTTTCCATTAAATGACTTCTCTTTCTCACATTTAATAGATGAAATTTGCAAATTTAGGTTATTTGACAGGCGAACTTGAAAATCATATTTTATATATTATTTCACATATTTAAATAATTACATCAATTGATAATGATAAATTTATTCATTCTTAGTAAATTACAAAAAAATTTTT